GGCGAAGCCGCCAGCCCCTCTCCGCAGACCGGCTTCTCCCGCCGCGCAGCGGGGCGGCAGGCCGAGGCTGAAGAAACCTCAGCTCTCGTCATCCTCGGCACGGGGAAGGAGAGGCTCTCGGTGACAAGCGGCCCTTGCTCCCGCCGACCCCCTCCCGCAGCGAGCCTGCTTGCTCCCTCCCGCAGCAGGCCGCGCACGCTGAGGATTTATGGGATTACTGTTAATTAACAAGTTAAAATTAGTTGCCAGCCATCACCCCACTGATTCTCATCCAGAGCGAAGGTGCCGCAGCAAGCCAGGAGAGCGGTGCCAGAACGCGGGATCCCGCGTAGCGAGCGGAGGCACGGGCCGGAAGAAGCCCCTGCCCAGCCACGCTCCGGGGCCTCCCTCCCTGCCGAACAGGACGCACAGGGCAGAAACAGCACTGCACGGGGCTGCGACAGCAAGGGGAGATCCTAGGACAGCTACTGAGCTCAGCTCAGGGAGAGCAACCCACTGGCCCGCCCTGTCCCACTGCGGCTTGCAGTAATGGGTGCGTGGCCCTGCCCAGTGGGCACCAGCACTGCTGGCATCAGGACTCCAGCTAATTGCTCGTGCCTGGCATCCTCCCTGAGATCTGCTCGTTTCCTGCGTCTCTGATAGTTCACCCTGGGAAGCAGCTGCACGGCTGCACCAGGCCCAGCTCGGCGCAGAGGAACCAGCACTTTCCCAAGCACAGCAGCTTTCCGAAAAGGCAATCGAATGCAAAGCACTTGGCCCTGAACAAGCAGTACAAAAATCACTGCTCCCCCCCAACACCCTCTTGACCTTGTGCCCTACTTATAACGCTTTCTTCTCTTGCCCCACAGTGGCAGAGAAACGTGCCCTCTCAAAGGGGAAAAACACCCCATCCACCCCAAGGTAGAAGGATGCGATCAAGGCTGGTGTAGGAGCCCAAACCCAGGGACGAGCTGCTCATCTCTAAGGCTGCACTGACGCGTCCTCCTTCCTCCTTCCCCGCTGCCAGGCACACCCACAGGAACCACAGGCATCTCCTGGGAAGCGCACTGGTGTCAGCACCTGCCTGCTGCAGCCAAGGCCGACACAGCCCTGGCGCGCGCACAGAGACGGGCTTCCTTGCCAGTTCCTGTGCAGAGCTGTACCACGTCAGGAGGCTGGTAGACCAAGACATGCAGCCAGGAGTTCCTCCCTTGGGAGGAAGGGCCACATCCTCCTCCTCGTCGGTGCAAAACCAAGAATGAGATCACCAGAGGCACTAACTGGCCGCAAAGCCAGGAGGTGTGGGCAAGCGTTGAGCTCTGCTACCTCTCGCGCATGCAGAAAGGAGACCCTTCCCCACCCCATGTACGCATCCCATGCAACAGGCAGAGCAAACCAACACGCAGCCCAGACGCAGCAGTGAGGGCCTGCAGACCCATCTCGCAGACAGAACTGTCCCACCCTGCTTTTTGCACCCACGGGATGCGGTGGGGCGATACCCTGTCCCACCCACCACGCATCTACCCCAGGCTGCCTCAAGTGAGCACCTGGGGGAGACAGGCAGCAAGTTCCTGCCGCAGCGATGCAGGAGGTGAACCTTACCGGACGTAGAGAGATCTCTTCTCGCTTGTCCGGAGCGAGCCAGAGCCGGAGCTCATGCTGCTGTTCATCATCTGCTCTCTCAAGTCGTGGATCTTTGACTCGAAGCGGCTGTACTCTGCGGGGAGACACAACGTCAGTTCAGGCAGGAGCTGCCCGTAAGCCACCACCATCCCACAGAGCAGGCCTGAACCAGCCCGCTGCAATTAGGTCCAGCGAGCACCAAGAGAGGCAACGACAGCCCGTCTGCGAGGAACCTCATCCGCGTCCCCGTGCCCCTCCGCGCACAACAAGCAAGGCTGAAACTAAAGGAGCCGCGGTGCCCTACGCGACGTGGGGCAGAGCATCCAGAGCAGGAGGCCCCCGGGCGCTGCCGAACGCACCGCAGAGGAATTCACCTTTCATTCACCTACATCCCGGGCACCGCAAGCGTCGCGCGGCAGAAACCTACAGAAGCAGCCGTGAGACCCTCCCGGCGGCAGCGACAGCCGCCCGCGGGGCTGCCCGCACGGCGGCTGGCCCCCACCACCGC